TGTTTCGGGCTCAGGAAGGGTTTGAATGGCGCCATGACATGTCGTCCATGGAACTTCGCGCACGAGCCATGATCTTCTGGCCTGGCATCACTGCCGATATTCACAAAATCCGTGCGGAATGCCATGAGTGCAACAAGAATGCTCCTTCCCAAGCACCTCTTCCGTCCACGCAGGCAACACCACCATCCACACCGTTTGAAGCTGTGTTTGCAGATTTCCTCGATTTCGGTGGGCACCACTACCTCGTGGTGGGAGACCGCCTCTCTGGATGGGTCGAGATTTTTGCGTCCCCGGTGGGATCGCCACGGGCAGGAGCTATGGGCCTCATTGCAAGTCTTCGCGCATTCTTTGCAACATTTGGGGTGCCGGGGGAGTTATCCAGCGACGGGGGGCCGGAATTCACCGCCAGTGCCACTCGCGACTTCCTCTACTGCCGGGGCATCAGCCACCGAGTCTCATCCGCTCACCACCCTCAGTCAAATGGGCGGGCGGAAGTGGCCGTAAAGTCAGCAAAGCGTCTCCTACGGTCAAATGTTGGCCCGACAGGCGTGTTAGACAATGACAGGTTGCTACGTGCGGATCCGGACTGCAACGTTTCACCAGCCCAGATCGTCTTTGGGAAACAGCTGCGTGACTCATTCTCTTTCGTGAACCGCCTGGAGAAGTACTCGAACCCGTTTGTCCGCCCGGAATGGCAAGAGGCATGGCACTCGAAGGAGGTCGCGCTACGAGCGAGATTCGTGAAGTCGTCTGAGAGCCTGAATGAGCATGTGCGCCCCCTGCGTCCCATACATGACGGCGACAGGTGCTTCATCCAGAATCAAGTGGGGAACTCGCCAAAGCGCTGGGACCGCACCGGCACGGTCGTCGAGACTCTTGGCCACGACCAATACCGCATTAAAGTGGACGGGTCCGGGCGCCTCACCACACGGAACCGGATGTTCCTCCGAGCATTTGTTCCGGCTTTTACCGAGATCCAGGAACGGGCCCATGCAGGACCATCTATGCCGTCGCTGGCACCACCAGCTCTCAAACCGCCAGATGCTGCCCTGCCTCGTCCTGGTCTTCCATATGCTGCCCCACGCGATCCGTGCACGGACACGCCTTGTGTTGCGCCGCCGAGTCCTTCAGCACCACATGAGAGGCCTACAGATGACGATCTCCCAGCAGCCACTCTATCGCTGCCTATTCTGGCCCCTGCATCGCCTCCACATGGTCAGCCGCCGCCACTCAGCGATGCTTCGCCTCCCGCGCCATCACTGCGCCCTCGCCGTGCGATTCGCCAGCCTCGCGTCTATGAACCAGAGACCGGCCACTGGATTTCTCCTTGAGTTCGCGGCGTTGCCCCCTCGAACTGGGGGGATGTACAGTTATGGGATATTGTCCATTTAGTTATATTAACGGAGAGAGAGAACTCTGACAGTTATCGTTATACTGTATTGACATTAGTTCCCTTTCATTTGTTTCAGCGTGTCACTTACATTTTCTAGTGATATAAAACTTCGTTCAGGAAACGAGTTCTTCTTTATATATATATATATATCGATTTATCTATCTATCCATCTATCTATCTATCTATATATATATATAT